CCCCAACCCCCCGTTTGTAGATCAAATGTTACATTAAATTATTTCCATTTTATTTCAAGTCACTAGAATCTATTGTTTAACTCAATAAATGTTAAATCAATTTATATTAATTTTTTGATGTAACTGTATCAACGTCGCCTCCCCACTCAGTGGGCCACGGTAAAATTGTCAAATGTTGACAGGTCCGCGGCGATAAAAAGGTTGGAGAGCACTGGTTTAGGTGACTATCTTCACCTATTGGCATAACTCCGATATAACAATCATGTAACGTGCATGTGCACATCGATTCCTGGATTGTAAGGCAATACTGCATGTCTCCGTGAACACAAGGAGATTCAATTATTACATAATATCTATGTGCACGGATCCGGCTTTCGGGTATAATATTAATTAGTTTGACATTAATTGGTTTGCGTTAGTGATATTGTTGTTGGAAATTTTATCCCTGATTACTAATCAATTGCATCCCATTCAAAATCGTGTATAACTGTGTCTATAAATAGTATATCACTTGATATTCTGTCTTGAGATATGAGACTATATTATATAATTTAATTGTAATTATCTTCTGGTACATATTAAATGTGAAATATAGTTTAGTAATAATTTAAATAATTAATTGTCACCTTTTAATCTGGAAGTCAATGTGTGTCAAATCAATTTACTGTAGCAATTGATTATTTAGACGGGAAGAGTTTGCACAGGGCTTTAACTGCGTCTGGTGCAACAATCAGCTTACTTACGTTACTTCGTCGATGATATTGCGAATTTTACAAATCTTATGGCGTGTTACCAAAAAGATCAAGAAAATCATGACGACTTTTTATTTTGTCAGCCTTTATCAGGTCATATAACAGGAGTAAATAGATGTGTTGAAATTAGCATAGATGGAGCAAAAAGTATGATCGGAATTAATGAAGAACTTGTTGCAAGAATTTAGAATGTTGCCCCAAATGTCATATCCACACATTGTTGCATACGCAGAGAGTCTTTGACAAAACGAAATATGATCTAAAAAAATTGATTGAATCAAGAAAACATATATTTTATTTTGTTAATAATATGGAAATACAAACAAAATGTGATCTTTATTGATCAACTTATATTATTTGGCTCTAAAATTGATCGAAATAAAATATTGAAAATTTAATACAACTTTTTGTATTAACATGGAATTCAACTATTCGTGGACCACTTGAAGCAATGGAAAAAATATATCAATTTTGTCTCCTGATTTTATAGAAAAATTCATTAAACTAAAGGAGAATTTGGAATCTAAAATCAATTTTGAAACATAAGAATATCCTAATTAGTTAGCTTAATAGTTTAATAATTAATTTCGAATTTAATAATACAGTAAATCTTCGATTTGCACGATTTCATACACATGCGGTTGTTTGAAATTTCTACATTTCATGTATGCAGAAAAATGTTCAACACTCAACTTAAAATTTCTGCAATTGTACACAGATTTATATTATATTATTTTTATAATTTTCGATTTACGCGGTTTTGCGACTTATACTGAAATATTTGGAACGAATTAATAAACAAAATAAGAAATAATTGATTATAGTAACAAACCCTTAACAATCCAAATTATTGTCTTAATAAAATATATCGTATAAAACCATTAATAATATAAAGAAGGCCGCTTATAATTGGATTTAAGCATTTTGGAAAACAATGCCATCGCAATTGAAAATATTAGTACAAAAATATAATAAAGAATTTTCAGAATTTCTCGGACCGAAATTAATTATAATTTGTAATTCTAGTTTCCAGAAAAAGGTAGGAAAATAAATTTGTATTTCGGAGAAGATTAATTTTCTCATTCGGAAAATATTTACTACAATAATAAGAATTTTTAGTTTTTCTTTGGTACAGTCGGGATTTTTATACAGTCGCGATTTTGATACTGTTGGGATTATGGTTGTCGGAATTTCTATTGCCAGCGGTTTTAGTCTATAATAATATATTCAAGTATTATCAACAGTTAGAGTAGGAAAAAAATAGTTTGTATTTTTCTTAAACATTTCAATACTTCAATAATTCTTAAAAGTTATTTTAGTTATATTAATATTTAATACGGCATCAATTGATCTTTCTTCGTATGTTCAAAAATTAGATATGAAATGTTAAGCGATTCATAAAAAAATGTTTGTGATCAAAGCTACTTCTGAAAAAAAAAACAAGTATTTAATTTAATGCATTAATCTCCTTTTGATCTTGTTTATTCTATATAAAGTATCAAGGGATGCTACGCTCAGTTGAATGTCAAATATTATTGATAGATAATATTGAACTCTTCGTACAATCATCAATGTGAAAACGACTCATTTTATGGCAAATAAGTATTAGATGGGTGAGATTATTAAATGAACAAAAATACATTCAAACTTATTTTCAAAAAAATACATATTTTGTTATCTTCAATGTAAATATATTTATACGTCGGGAGATAAGAACTCTTGCAGCTGTTATAACCTGATAACTAACAATAAGTTCAATTATAGCAAAATAAATATACAAAAAAATAATCATTTTGTATTATTTTTTTCGGAACAACAATCACTAAAAAAGTTTGTATATTCCATATTTTTCGGACAATCAAATGCACTTAAAAAATAGAGGTAATCTATTGCATTTGTTAATGTAATGCCTGTAAAAGTCCAGAAAATAAGTAGATTTTTATGTTCTGATAAGAATTTTACATTTGCAATTGAGTAGTAGCATAACAATGCAACATTTTCATAAATAACACTACTGGTTGCACCGGATAAACTAAAGAGATGTCTGTATACGTCGAGCATAAACTATATAATGGAGCCTGTCAGAAGACGAAATGTAATAAATAATGTATACAATTCGCTGTGTCGTGCAGAATTCACTTTGACCTTAAAAATGTTGTTGAATAATAGAGATATTTCCAAGAGGCAGGTGCGTTGTCGCGTGTTATTTACGTTTTTGAACAACATCTTGCAGTAGTAATTGTAAAGTTTATATTGAGTTAAAACGTATTATGCTGCTATAATAATAACTTGCAGGGAGAAAAAAATGTAATTATTATTTTCTTATAATTAAAGTTCACTTTTTTTTATGTCGTGTAACTTACAATCTGTTCATCAATGTGAACATTGAGCAAATTTAAGATCGCAGTTGACATTAAATGGATAATCTTTCTCGGTGGATAGTTACCATTATGATGATTAGATTTTTAATTTGTTGTTTGGTTGTCGTCTTGTAGGTTAAATTTTTAATAAAAATTGATTAAAATTGCATTTATTTAACGTTTTAGATGCGTTCCTGAAGTCAGAGCGGTAAACGAAACAGCGTTATAGGAGGTCATTTTAACACATAGCAAATAGAGAAACGGGAATACGCGACCAAAAACAAATTTTACTTTAATTTTAAGTTATATTTAAAGTAATTTGCATTATAATATATGTTTTATAAAACACAAATATTTGCACACAGAAATATTCAGTATATATTTGTGATGAAGGTCGTGGCTCTTCTGATTTTTTTTATTTTTTGGCGATAAAATCGTCTGGAGTCATTTGTCGCTTTCTTTTTCTTTCATTAAGTTTTTTGTTTTTGCACACTTGCTAAAATTGGGATCATTCGCTACAATTTGGCGATAAAATCGATTTTGGTTATCGTTTCTAAACTTTTCCTAAATAAATCTGTAGCAAGTTTTTTAATATTTAAGATAACATTATTTTTACACCAATCTCAATTTTATACTTCCTCTTTATATAGTTAATGGTTAAATACAGGAAAACTTAATACGATTTGGAAAATCATTGTTTTTTCAATCTTTTCATAATATTATATACATACTAGAGTAAGTTTTAGATTAATATTATGAATTATAAATTCTCTTCTTTAATATTTTGATAGCATTGTAAATCGATTATATATTAAATTTTCATTTTATACGAAACTCATTCGAAAAACTTATTTATTTTAACTAATTGATGTTTTTTATTATTATATGCAAATATATATGTTAAGTATTGTAGTTCATAAAGTGTTAAACTCAAAATTATCTCTTGCTGACAAATATCCATTAATTTCAATTTATTGCCTTTCTATTGAACCCAGTATCCTTCCTCAGAATTGACCCAATGGCTTCAAACATCCGCACCCTAAGATATAGGGTGTATGTATAGGTGTATATATTTGCTTTGTTGTTCCTAAACCCAAAATGTATCATTTCCTGCTCTTTGAAGACGCAAATAAACCTGCGTACAAATCGTTCATATATCCTCTGTAAATATTACCGTAATTACATTTTTCATCTATATTCTGAAGTATGTTATTTCGTTGTCGTTATTAGATTCATTAATTACAATATATATGTTCTAAATTGCTCACTTTGTTGTATAGTATTGTTGAATTCTGTAATTATGCTGTTATTACATTAATATATGATAATTTTTCATTACTATATTTGAATGATAGAATTTTTATCTTATTAATTTTAAAATCTCAGATTAATTATACTTTACAAGAGCTACATATTATAATTGTTATACAGTAATACACATTATGCTAATATCCCGGACTATTTGAAACTGGACTAATTCTCAATCAGAAATCTGGTAATTGGAATAAGTAAGATATAATAGAATGGTTCAGTTTTCGAATGAACTATGTTTTATGACCGAGGTTCAAATATATTTGATTAGAACAAATATGTAAAAATAAGAATCTTTGTGAATCAAACGATTTAGTAATAATAATAATATATAGATTACGATGGATTTACGTTTGGGTTAAATTGAAAATTAGTGAGGGTCGTATGTGAGTGTGTACGAGTGAATGCGCTTCGTCCGTGAGGGGATGGATGGTACATCCAGTTATAAGTTTATGCAAGTGGTAGGTAGGTAGAATAGTGGAAAATCGGACTTTTCCGTGGATCAGTCGGGAGGGTCGACGGTGCGCACGAAGTCTGGATGCGTGGAGCGCGCGCCACCGAAGAGGCCTTTCAAACGCGTTTGTGCATGTTCGTAACTGTGTATGGTAGAACCTGGTCTTCAGACTGCATCAAACCAGCGGTTGGTACGTGCGGCTCGTTGCGAAGGCAGAGACCATGGCCGGGAACATCGTGGCGGAGTGGCTCAGATCCTTGCATCTGGGACAGTACGCGGACAGTTTCATTGATAACGGCTACGACGATTTGGAGATCTGCAAGCAGGTTGGAGATCCGGATCTCGATGCCATCGGCGTGTTCAATCCGAACCACCGGAGCCGACTCCTGCAGTCTGTGAGAACCCTCCGTGAGGAAGGAGCAGCGTCGGTGTATTTCTCGTTGGAGGAGAGTGTTGCCGTGCACGAGGAGTGTTTGTGTGACAATGTGAGTGCTCGGTCCTCGAGGACCTCTTCGGGACGATGCTCGGACAAGGAGGCGACCTCCAGCCGGATCGCCGCCGTCTCTCCGGCCGCATCTTCTTCGGCGGAGAGCGGCCAGGAGGTCGCCAAGTATCTGGATGAGTACGAAGAGGGAAAAGCGGAGCTCGTCAAGATACCGAGGATGCAGCTCAAGATGCTCTTGCGGGACAAATTAGCTCAGGACGGCATTAGGCTCACCTGTCAACCGTATTCGACTCCGGTGAGTGAACTGGCCATTCAACCACGTGCATGCAACAACGCCCTCCAACTACATCCATTCACATGCACACAAAACACACAACTCGCATTCTCCTATAACTAATTCATCCTGAAACTTACATCGTCGTTGCCCCGTAAAATCTAATTGAATTTGACTTGCCATTCATCACACATCAATATTAGCTAAAATTACAATCTCCTTAACTTAATTATACGTCCGATCCCCTCAGAAATGATCTACCTCCTCCATTCTCGTCCCTTCAATTATTAAAACAGATCGGAAATTCCTAACTCGTTTTTTCTTTATTTACTCTCGCAATTATTTCCAAGTAATCATTACAATATTTATTGATATCGTTACAAGGCAAATATGCCGCGTACATTATTAATAATAATTTATTGCCCACATGCAGTCACATACCAAATACATTATATTTGTTAAATTATTGCTTTTCGTATATTTCATAAAAAAATACATCAAATGAATTTTATCCATTAATATATAAATTTATATTTAATCAAATATGATAATTGATCCTATTGAAGCTGAAATGTAATGATTTCCGTTTCGTCATTCGATTCATATAGAAATGAAGTTTTAAGTATTTCTCTTTTTGTCTCACCTTAATCAATTAAAGCTATAAATAGCATTTCTTATATAACAAACTAAGACAAGTAATTACTTTTAGTTTTATATATAAAAACAAGAAATCAATTAATATATTCAATCACAACTTGAAGCAAATTATTTTCAAAAATCTTTTAAAAATTAAAGTATACATTATCATATTTAGCAAAGAAAATAATGAAATCTTTCCTCTCCTAATTTTATCATTAAATTTTAAACTAGACTTCATTCATATACAGACTATACGATGTTTATGCATCAAAATCCATAAAGAATAGGATTATTAAATGCCATTTATACCTCGTTTTTGATGGCATTGAAGGCATTGCCTTTCTTGGACGGATTATGTACTTTACACTTCATCGTGATTCCTTATGAAATGTCTCCGTGCAAACGTCTGCGAAAATTCCGATCTTCTCAAGTTGCTTGTTTAGTATCCGCTGCCTTCAGCATCACAAATAACAGATTTACCATAACTCGGAACCCCTCATTCCAATTCGGAATGGTGGATGGAACCTAGTTATTTTTCTTCTGCATCTCATCTTCATTATTTGCGTATTTGATTTCGCACTGACCGCAGACTCTCTCTGTGTGTATGTGTGCAAGGTGCACTCTTTCAGACTCGTTTTCGTGTTTATTCACACCGTGTTTAATGTATTCAGAAATTCCGATCTCCTCGAGCTGTTTACTTAGTATCCATTACCTTCAAATCCACAAATAACAGATTTATACCTTATTAACCGACGTTTCGTTCCATGATTAATCGTGATTTATTTAAAATTTATTATTACTTTACGATTTTTTTAATTAAAGAAGAGACGGATCTTTTTTTTCTTATTTTAAAAATTAGTTTGCATTTAATTGTTTTTTTTAAATGTATTTAGTTATTACTTATTTATGATTATAGTCTGTATCGTAAAACATTAATATCATCATTATTATTAAAATGGTTAAGTTTCGTGTGTATCGACGATTCAATTCTATCGAAAATAATTCGAGTTATATACATAAAGGGTAGAAATCGTAAAGACGTAAAGTGTCTTTATATTTTCTACCCTTTTATGTTAATGTTGGATCTTTCAAAGAAATGTATTTCCTGCTTATTATTAGTTCGTATCGTAAAATATAGATATCATCATTCTTATTTTATGGGTAATACGCTGGTAAAGTCAAACGTTAAAGTTTTAGTCTTGAAAAATGTATCGATAGATGGTCGTAAACCGGAGTATACAAGAACATTATATATAATCCTGCCATTTCTTTTCTGGATTTTAAAAGACATTTAATGATTTTTAATTATATATTAATATGAATATCATGAGTATAATATTATTAAACTAACGTTGTAGCAATTGAATATATCCGGTCTTAAACCGGAGTATATTAAAAGATTACATGATTTCTTTTCTTTATCTTAATGTAAGTTTTTTATTAAATTATTCAAGTACAATTTGCAAGTAAAAAATTGCAAAATGTAATTTATTTCGAGTAATTATCGAAATAGGATCATAATTTGGTATATATTGAAAGAATATCGATTTATAATTCCTACTTTTTCTGATATTTCAATTTCAATAATTTGTCGCTATCTTTACATGTAATTTTTACCTACGTATAGCAAAAAAACTGTATTCATAAGTAAACTGTTAGTAAAGTTGAAAGTTTAAATTGTTATTTTTGAGTTATTTCCATTCGGTTCTAAGTTGAATCTTTATCACTATTCTTATTTCATCATTTCTATATTTTTAATTTAATAAAGAAGTTTTAGTTGTAAGAGAAATTCATCCCAATTTGGGATAATTCTTATATGTTTTAATGGATATAAAATGATACCAATGTTGGACGTTTCAAGAATATTTGTAGTTTCTAAATATTATTAATATTTTCATTCTTATTTAAATTTATAAAATGTTTATTGCTTCTAAGGCAACTTAAAAGTATATATTTTGGTTCACGAACATTCGGATGATAAAAAAAAGAAAGATAAAGGAATTATTGGAATATGGACTGCAGTAGAATTGACTTTAGATTTAATTTGTATATTTTTTGTTTAGGAACACTGGAAGAATAAAATAGTAAAATAAATATATAAATGGAACAGTTACATATAAATTAATAAAACAAAATGATTTGTCAGATGTGTTTTGTCATAAAATATTTATATCAAGATTTTCATTTGATCATGTTCTATTATAGGGTGAAATATAATGGATTTCGTTTCGTTTCACTCATTTAGAAAAGAAACTTGAAGTATTTCTCCTTTGATTCACCTTAAACAATTAATTGCAAAGCTGTAAATAGCAATTATTATATTACAAACCAACTAATTGGCAACTAATTGATTGCGTATTTTCAGTAAGAAGGAAAATTGAAAACTTTTGCCAAGCTGTTTTATGTGATACATTGAGCTTCTCTGTAATCTCACGTGTTGTGTTATGACGATCTGAATCGATACTGGCCTTGATATAGGCCTCATCAACGATCTGACCGTTGCGCCTTTTTCAGTGAAAAATCACCAGAACGAAATTTGTCGAACCAATTTTTACACTGGCTTCATTCGCGTCTTGTTCTTCCAAATTCGGATAAAAACAAATCTAAATAACTAATCGATATAATTTTTTATACTAAATTAAAGGTAGAAGTCCAAACAACAACAAAAAAAACAATATGTTAGGTGCTTTGAACACGGTGACAAAACGAAAGAATGTGCTAAGACCACCTATTCAGAAAATCCGCAATCACTTAGTTGCCAACCCAATATAATTCATACATGAAGCCAACCCAATAAATTAATAAAGTAAAAGTTTTTAATAAAATGATTTATTAAAAATGAGTAAAATGTGTATCGCTTTACTATTCTATCGTTCGTTCTTGGCGTCTTTGGCCTTCCATCGGATTATAAGACTGTACTTAGAGCATCGAGGCTGTTCTCGATTTTTTTTTATTCGGTTGCGTAAAAACTTGTCATGTTTGGAGCCGCAGCAGCCGGATAAGTTAAGATGATGCATACCGAAGGAGCCGCTTGGGATGATGCCGGCCGGCCGGCAAACCAAGAGATAGCCGCTGGAGATAGCGGGGATGTGTTCAGTTATCTTTGCAAATAATTAACGCGCTACCCAACACAATGCGAATTAGAACTAATCCTGCCTCCCCCCCACTCTTCCCCCAAACAACAGCGACTGCATTACAAGCCCATGAATAACTTAGAAAGAATACACCGGGTCGGCGGAAATAACCAAAGCAATTTACATTGGTTTGCCCGGCCGGATTAAATATGTATCGTTACCCAATCAATGCATGCGTGGTTCTTTGTACATCCAACTGAAGCACTTCGGCATGCGGTTTTTCCATTTCGCAATAAACGCACAGATACACATGCAAGCGCACACAATCCGCAAGCATCGGAGAACCATTTGGAGGATGAGGAGGAGGCATACCATAACACTGGGTATAAAAATTTTAACTATATTACTCCTCCCGTGACCCAGTAAAAACCGGCTTCTCTCCAAGCATACCATCGGACATGAACCGAAGCTTCGTTTGACAATGGGCATCGCACAAATTTCATTCCCACACGACCAACCATCTCGTTTCCAACTTTTATTTAGCTTCGCATCGTGTTATTTTCATTTTCAATGCAACGTATATGTATGTAATACCTTAAGGGATACTATTTACTACCACCGCTACATACAGGAAAATCTCGGCCATGACGAATCGCACAAATGTGATTTTAATCTGTGTGTTCTCAAACGAATCGAATGCCTAATCCATTTTTAATATCCATCCGTAATTCAACCAAATGTTTCCATCCACGTTCAGATGAATTACGGCTTTTTCAAATTAAATCATCCTATGAACAATATGTGTTTATAACAACAAAAAAATAGTCTATTTCATTCTATGATCATCATAGTCTCATGTTTTTATTTGATATCAATTAATAGTCATTTTTTCATCCAAAGTTGTATTAAAAAAATGTATATTTTGTTAATTACGTTTCCGTTTATATATTTAAATATACACACAAAATTTGAGTTACTTATTTGAAGCATTTTGTATTTTTAAATTTGTTGAATATTGAAATTTATTATTACATTTTTTTTTAAGATTATTACAAATTAAATCAAATTATGCTATTTGGATTTGTGATTATAAAGTCTTATTTTTGTTGGTATTCTTTGAAATTAATTGTTTACATGAAAATTTCTTATTAAAATTTATTTTTTATTCAAATGAAATTTTGAAATTATATGTAACGAATTACGTTTAAACTTAGTTTTCAATTATTTAAATATACATACGATACTCAAAAATCTAAATACAGTTTGAATTAATGTTTTGAAACATTTTGTAATTTACAAAATTTGTTGCCTGATTTGTATATTTCGACCAAATTATTTCTGCTCAAAAGTTTTCAAATATTTTTTTTATAATTAATTGAAACTAATCTTGTTATGAATAATTACTATTATATTTTTTTTAATAAAATTGAAATTATAATTTAATTTAAACAAATTATATCATATACACAAATGTATAATTTTCATTATTTGTCTCAATTATTAAAAGTTAATTTAAAATA